TTTTTTTTTTTTTTGGCAGTCTTTGTTTTCGGGCTTAGCAAAGCGAACTGAAGGAAGTGTTGCATTTGTCAGGGCAAAACCTATATATAGGAATATCTTAAATGGTTGTGAAAATGGCTACTTTTAATTCAGACTTACAAAGCAAATATGAGTTTCTTTCACATTTCTACATTCTGTTGACAAATGTGAATACCTAAAATGCATGAATCTTATTTTTTTCCCCAGAACATATTAATAACATATATTGGGATGTTTTTTGGAGGAGACTATATTTTTACATGGACAAACTTCATTGGGTTAAATATCAGGTAAGGCTTTTATCTTCAGTGTGCGATATTTCTCAAAATTATTTCTGACTTCGAAATTGCACCAGCTTGTTATGGAATTGGTGAGAACGGTATTGAGCTGTCTGAACACTTATGGAATTAGATCTCAGCAGAGAACAGCACTTTGTTCTGACAGGAAGAACCAACCAACCACAACATTATTACACAGGAGATGATAGCTCCTGATCGTGCATACATGCAGGCATGTGGATAGTGTCATTGGCATCAAGGGTCTTATGTACATGAAGTTAAGTTTGTATATTGTGTGCATTGGCACAGACTCGAGCAAGTCTGCTGGAGCGTGGTAATTGCCACATTCCAGCAACCTCCTGTGTCTTGTGTATCACCATTCCTGTGCTTAAAAATGGTGGTGGAGGTGCTTTATCTAAAGCTTGTCAAATGAGCTTTAGTTCAAGAGCCCCCACACTGGTTTTAAGCATATGGATGCTGATATAGGAGGTGCGGTGTCACTTGGAGCTGCTCTGATTAAAGCTCTTCCCACCCTTTGCCCCTGGAGCACATGTAAAAGTGTCCACGAGGTTTAAGCTGCAACACAAAACACCTCTTAATGTTCATCTGTTGTAAACTGACTACTCTGAAGGGGGAGAGAGAAAAAACAAGGAATGGAGGAGGGTAAGCTCTCATGGAAGAATGCGCATGTATCCAGTGTGACATCTATGTTACTTTTACCTTGTTTTTATAAAACATATTCCTCCCTGCATTTCATGAGGTTTAGGAGGGGCATGTTGATACTTAGAACCTATGTATGGTATATAAAAAGTCAAGTCACTTTTATGCTGTTTGAAGAATTAGCATAGCTTTGAAACTCAAAGTAAGTTATTTGCTTATACTTGCTATTGAAGTAGGCTGTAAATTTCAAAATTGAATAGATACATCTAAGAATCTAAAGAGGGATGATCAATCAGTAAAATCCCTGGAGAGAAAAAAACCTGGAGACTCCTGCAGCAGGATGCAAGTGTCATCTAATAAAATGATCTAATTTTAAATAAGGTGCTCAACCTTCCTCTGCCTAGCCAGGGCTGGGGGTGGCACTGAACTGTGTCTCAGTGATGCAAGCTAGATGCCCGGGATAAGCTTCTGAGGTATAAAATGCACCAGAAAACCTCCCCCAGGGAGGCAGAATAAGTTCCACCTCAGAAACAAGAGCATATGCATTCATCCATATGTGTGAAATGTGTAGGACAAGAGGAACTTAAGACTTAGAGAATACAGACCCCTTTCCCCAACCTGCTCCCCCCCATCCTCCACAAAGATACTGTCAGCTTCTAGGAGGTTCTCCAGAGATGCTGCGTGCCCCTATAATTTAATCTTCCAGATTTCTTGTTCTTGATCTCAGCTGGCACATGGACAATAATACTTGATCTAACAGCACAGGAAAAAAATAAGATTCCATCAGGGAATCCGTAGATGCATGCATGCAGCTGACTACGTTGGATTCTCTCCAACATTGGAATGAAAATTGGAAGCTTTAACCACTTATTAGCCCGCTGGTCTGACCACCATCTTATTTGTGAAGAAGTCGGATGCTTCCCCACAAAGGTAGTAAAAGCAAATAAGCAGGTCTTCCCCCGAACCTCCTGGCTTCCAGCTTGCCCTAGGTGAATGAGATGAACTAAGTGATGATCAGGGATCCTTGTTTTCTCTGCTAAAAATCCAAAATTCTCTGATTAAAAATCCCTCAATTTTCCCATTTTTTGGCAATTAAAATGAAATGGCACTACACATATAGTGAAGTACCTTTTGCCCTTGAAAGGGAAAAATGCCAGGGATTTTCTGTGGAATTGAGTGTTGCTATTGAGTTCATACGGAGGGTGCCCAGATTCTGTTGTGAGTGACAGTCAAGATTCTTAGGAGAAGTAGATAGATTCAGTGTGCTGTTGAGTGTCAAGGTTAAAGTAAATGATTATTATCCATCATGTTCGGAACATAAGCATAAGCTGAGGAAAGAACAAGTTTTCTCTCTTGAATGTATTGCAAACGTGAGAGAATTTATAGGGGTTTCTCTGAAGCATCTTACACCAACTACTTTCTGAGGACAGAATATTGGACTTATTCAATTGACAGATCCTTTGACATTGCTTATAGGGCTCGTGGTGAGACTATAGAAGGGAAAATAACTTTTTAAAGTTTAAGGGAGCAAGGGGAGGATCAAAAAAACCCAATTCTTGACTTACAACTCTCTGTAGTTATAAACAGAACATATACATGAACTTTTACCCTCTCCTGAATGGCTTTTAAAAATTAACTGCCCCCTCTGGCTTTTTTCCTTCAAAAGCATCAGTACACAGTGCAAATGCATTATTGGTCCCAGGCAGTAGTGCTGGGAATTCAGGAGTTTGTTTGGTACTCAGTGCACATAAGCTGGACGTTGTTGGTACAGTCTTGACCTACATTTCACTGAACTAAAATGAATCCATTGCCTTTTTTTTATTGTTCCTGTTCTGGCTGAATATTCACAGCTCTAATTATATCACGCCTGCTAATGGCCTTAGCAGTACTTCAGAGTGAAGGGAATGTGTTGCTAAAATATGCCTGTAATTTTGGGCTGTTCTTACTATCTGCTAAATTACACATCTGAATCTGAAAGGTAGCAAAAGAGAGTGATGTTGCTTAAGCTTTCCAATGGACTTGGTTATAATGTTGTTTCATGATCTTGACCTAGGTCAATATGGCCTTAGAAGATGAATGCCACCCTTTTCCCTTATTAGCTATACAAAGAACAGCCTCTGCCATTTTTCCCTATTGTAGCCAAACTGGTGACTCCAATGATGGAGGAGATGTACCAACCAAATTAGTATTTCTGGCTATTAAGCACGGAGGGTATAAATCCAAGTGAACAGAATACACCGTGTATGGGGAAAGGTAGGGTGGAATTCGAAGTGTGTGTATATGGGGGTGGGGAGTAGACAGGCGGGAGGCAGAGATTAGCTAAGTAAAGCAAGCTTATGGTTGGCACTTCACCACTCTTCATCAGCCTTCTTGCATTGTACCACCTTCATGTCTTTTTTTTCCTTTTGCAGCTTTCAGTAAAACATGACAAAGGGTGTTTTCAAAGCTCTTGTTTTTGTGGATGTCAGGCTGCCTGCAGTGTCAGGTCTAATATTTTGAATGTCTGTGTAATGAGGACCATGCTTATATTGGTGTATGGTATGGGTCAAAAAATTTGGACCAGCGTCTTCACTGGAATCTTCTATTTGCAAATTGCAGAGGGTACAAATGTAGTATTTTTGGAGTGTGTAGAGTACATACGTAATAACTTACTTGCAGTTCTAATGTTAATGCAATTTCTTTCATTCTTTTATTTCAAAATGTTTTGCAGTATTGCTGGAAGCTTGGTGTATTCCTACATCACTTTTACAGAAGAACAGCTAAATAAGCAGTCTGAAGCTAGCATCAAGATGGACATTAAAGGAAAAAGCTCAGTATAACCAGGGAATTACTTATAAAATAACCCTTGGCTTTGATTCAGTGATGATTACTGGTGGTAGTAAAAATTTGTCAATGTAGGTCTCTTTGCAAATGCAAAGTACCAACATTATTCCATGACAATCTAAAGACTGCAGCCTTTTACAAATCTATTTAAAAGATTTATAATTGATTGTACATTAAATACACATCAGATTAATTTAGGCTATGAGGAAAACATGTTTTTAATTATTCTGAAACCTGGTAGTAAAGCAGTGCATCAATGATGACGTAGGAGTTCTGACTTCAGAAGGTTGTGTGAAAAGTACTCTGGACATTATTGAGTATAGTATTGTCTTGTGGGAAGACTTGTCCTACTCATTCAGTTACAGTTTAGTTTGCATCTGTATTGTGATGCAACTAAGCAGATCAGCAGGCAATCTTAAACAGTGTTGAATAAGCTCTGTGCAGGGACACCAGTAAAAACGACTCTGTCCCCTTTACGCAGTGTAAAAGGGACAGTGATATAAAGCAGCTTGCAAAGTCCTATGTTGAGTCAGAGGGGGACTCATCAGTGCAGGCATTGGGAAGGACAGCCACAAAGCTTTCTTTTTAGGAGCCCCTCAAACACAGAGGTACAACAGGCAGGAGTTGGTATGAACTGCCCCCAAAGAATTATTCTTTGAAATTTAGTCTGCCTAACTTCTTTGGAGGGGAGGAGCGTGTCCATTCCTTGAAGCAGCTCAGATCAGGAGGCTTTAAAGACTGTGTAAAGCTTTCATAGCCTTTCCTCTTGGTCACAGATTCTGGTGCTGTATTCACCTCAGTCTTAGACAAGAACAGAGTAATCATTTAGCTTTATAAGCTTTCACTAACCATAAACCCTCTGTAGTCCCTGCAAAAGTCATGAAAAGACTATTCACGTGTTGGAGAGCTTGGTCGTCTTGTCGATGTTAAGCTTTCCAAAGTTGGGGGAATTTCGTGAGCTAGAAGTGCAGAGGGACTGAAATATAACTTTTCCTTTGGTAGAGAAAAGAATGACTTGCATATTAAAGGCTGGAGCCTGCTGATCTTTTAATAAAGGAAGCCGTTCTGCAATACATGCCAATGTTTAGGTTTTGACCATTCAACCATGTTTTGACCATTAGTTTGTGGGGATTTTGTAATAGATGCTTTAATTTTAAATTTTTTGAAGCCTCTCTTCACCCTGCTCAGATTCGATGCTGGCCTCAAACATGTTAGTGCTTGCAAAATTGAGGTAGGGTAAGCAATCTCGAGGAGAGATTCAACAGTACTAGAGATGCAGCACTTTCAGATTTATTTACCTTGGTGAACTGGCAAGGGCCTCCCTGAAAATCAGTTTGAGTCAACTACTTGACCTTTCAGTCTTAGTCTGAGCAGCACGGCAGGTTGCTGCTCAGCAGGGTAAGCTAGCCCACACGGAGCTAGCTCTGTGCTGCTGTGGCTAGATAACTCGTGGTACCTGAGGTAGCTTGTAAGAAGGTGGATCAGGTGTCTAGACCACACTGGGCTGCAGTGTAAATCTAGTCCTAGAATTATTTTGAGGTTGGTGCTGCAGTGGGATCATTTAATTAAAGAAGCGGCCCATCCTTTAGGCATGTGAATCACAAAAGCGGTTCCCACTAGCACCTGAAATAAACCTGCTGGTATCCCTGAGATTTTGCAGATCAGGCTGAGCTTTTACTTTAAAAAATCATGTGAAAGTCTGTCTAAGCCTTCTTTCTAAAAGTAACGTTTTTGAGTGCTCTCTCATCCCGATACAAAGACAAATAAGTTAACTTTCTAGTTCAGCATATTGAACAGTTAAAGCACTTAACACTTTATGCATGTTAAAAGTTAGTGAAAGGTCTGTAAAGTGTTGCCTAGAGTGAATATTTAACTCATTACCTCTGTTCTTCTAGGCAATGTCTGTTTTTTTTCCATAAAAAAGGACATTTAATATGTACTGATATAGTTCTAATGTTGTAGCCCTGTGCAGATTTTATTCTGTATCTGGCTTATTGTTGAGTGCAGTTTTCCAAAAGTTAAGTACTGACTTTTATTTTTGCAGTATTATTTTCTAAATCTCTCCCTGTGAATATCTTCGGTGAAATTTATATACTACTTCCCTTTCCCTTTATTTTTACTTCTATCCTTCATTTTTTTAGAAGAGACTTTCATAGGCACTTTTTTCTGGTTGCCTCTGAAAGGATATTTGGTAGAAAACCCAACTGCGGTTGTAAGAAATGCTGCACCTGTCAGAATATTTCATATGTAACCTCTCAGATGTAAGAATTCCTGTAGATTTTTGTGCAAAAACATTTAATCAACATATGGCTAAAACCATACAGTGTTTATCTACTGTGTTTCCTTGGCAGCCTGCATTGTTGGCTAGTCCTCCATTTCAGACTCTTTAAACAGCCTGCTTACGTGGGTATTTTTAAATGAGCTAAACATATGCTGTTTATATATTAAAGGAAGTGGAAGTCTGCATTCAGTGCAAATGATACCCTGACTTGTCAAAGGCTTCCTGAAATCATGCAGTTAGTTCCTACTGTACTGTGATGGCATGACCTTATGAGTCTCCTAAAGAAGAGCCAGTCCTGGGGATGGAAGAGTTCAGTGAAGCTGCTTGTAATTTTTTTTTTAAATCCCTCAGTCGGGGAGGTGGAAGAGGAGGAATTAATTATGGGGGGGAAAGTAAATAATCCTTAAGTCTGTGATGAGTATTCTTTTAAATAAGATAAACTTAGGAAGAAGCTAGAACAAAAGGATTTACCAGATGCATAGTTTTCCCTTTTATTGTGTACTAAGAAAATCCAATGTAAAAACTGCAAAACTTTAACTTGAACTACATTTGGTTTTGAACTATGTAACCTAATTTTCCCCTCATTGCACCTAGGTGTTAATTTGAGAGATCTGGGATTTTGGGTAGATTTATTGCAGCTCTTGTATCAAAGTTGGAGAAAGCTAATATTTCAGAACAAGGGTGTGAACTGTACACAGTAGGCAAAAGACTGCATGACACTTTCTCTTTGTCTGCTTTGTCAGTAGTCTTGCTTATAGGCAGCTGTTGGATCATGCACGTAACTTTAAATTGTTTGCCTTTTCCACATGCTGATTTTAAATTCAGCAAATGAAATTTCTCCTGTTAAATTTTTGCTTTTCTTTGTGAGGGAGAAAAACCAAGAAACTGGTCATTGTAAATGGGTCGTCATGGAAGTGTTTTTAACTTACACTGAAAACTTATTCCAAGATTAATACTTTTGATTTAGTTGATCATGCAAATCAAAGTACTTGTTCTAAACCCCCTTTTTTTTTAATTTAGCAAGATCATGGCACAAAACCTCTCTCTAGACCCTTTATGCCAGGTTAAAGATCAGAGCTGTGTAAATGAATCTTAAAAGTCCCTCTTCCAGTTGTGGTAGTTTTTATTCCCCTAGTGCAGGCACCAAGGAAGAGAGCCATGAGTTTGCCTTTAGATATCCTCTTGCAAGTCTTGGCTTGGGGGTAGGTGTTAAAGTAGGACTACAGCACTTCCCCTTTATGGCAATTTCATGAGTTGAAATGGTCTGCAGAGACTTGGGGGGGGCAGGGGTACAACTGGGACAAAGCCCCAGAGCTTTCCAAATTATACCAGAAGCTCGTGGCCAGGAAAAGGGAAGATGCAGAGAAGGCTTAAAGTTGCCATTGCATCTCTTCCTTCTGTGCTTTACCTTAGAGGAGCAGCACCGAATTTTGTTTCAAGTGATTTATTTAGATTAACTTAATGTGGTGTTTGACCAAATCATGGAAGTCTTTAGCCAAGCCGTCTAATTCTTACCAGTAGCTTAAACTAGAATATTTTCATATAGCTTTTATTTTTGCTTATCATCATGCTGGTCTGAAGCATTTCGGTCAGGTGTTCGTTACTGAGAGAACTTCTACCTTTTTTTTTTTTAATCTACTGGTTAGATTTATTGTCCTGTAAAATATTTTTAAAGCTTACATTGTTTGTAAACGTGCACATTTTTAGTGCCAAGATCCGGATGATATTGTATACACTGGGAAGCTGAACAAAATTCATACAATAGAATATTTTCTATACTATTAATCTTACTCTAAATATGTTTTTCTATATAGAGTCTATTTACAAAAAGACCGTTTAGTGTTCAAAGGATGCTCTTGATTCGAATGTACTGCAGGCTTTATATATATATATATTACTTCATGAATGATAGCAGAAGGACTCTTATGTGCCTATGTATTTTTGTACTGGCTTTAAATAAATACTGTTTTTCCCTGAAACACTGGTGTTTTTTTCCTCTCACCCACAACCTTCATCCAATCTTAGCTCAGCCATCTGAACTGCAGCATGAGGCGTGTGGCTGATGGGATGGATGCTGAACCATGCTATGCAGTCTATGGACCATAGAAAACACCAAGTAAACTAACCAACTTAACTCATTTGATCCGTTAACTCAAGCACTAATACTTTGAGCAGTGGGGTTTACATTCAGGACCTCTTTAACCTATCAGCAATCATGTGACATTTCTGGAGAACGTTAGCATGACGCACACGGTTCTGTGCCATTGCTGCTCACGTTCCCATTTTAATGTCTTGTCCCCAGAGGAAGATAGTGGAGTTCATGCTGACTTGTTAACATGAACAACGTAGCCACCACCACCACCCTTCTGAGAGCAGTTGCATTCTGCAGCTTCACTCGGCTATTAGGCTAGTTCCTGTCCTTGGCCTTCTTACCTTTCACATAACAGCCTGTTATAGAACACCTTTCAAACTTAAAGATGATAAATAGAGTCAATACTGCAACCAACCGTGTAGCACAGCTAGTCATCTGTTTCCTTACACACTGCTTTCCAAATGACAGGAGATAAAGCTGGCCAAATTCAACGAACTGGACAGAAAATAGATTCATGCATAGATAGTAGAGCCGGAAGGGACCCTGAAGGATCATTGTGTCTGACCCCGTGCCCCAGGCAGGAAAAGGACTGAGGTCAGACGACCCCAGCCAGGTGCCTATCCAGCTTCCTCTTGAAGCCCTCCAAGTTAGGTAACAGTACAACCTCTCTTGGCAGCCCGTTCCAGATTCTGGCTACCTTTGCTGTGAACAGTTTCTTCCTAACGTCTAACCTGAATCTACTCTCCACTAGTTTGTACCCATTATTCCTAGTTACTCCTAGGGGTGCCCTGGTAAATAGCATGTGTCCATCTCTCTGTTGTCCCCACCTTGATAAACTTACAGACTGCTACAAGGTCTCCCCTCAGACGTCTCTTGTGAAGGCTGAAGAGATCCAGATGTCTTAACCTCCCCTCGTAGGGTTTTGTACGGAGGCCACTAATCATGCAAGTGGCTCTCCTCTGGATCCTCTCCAGATTCTCTGCATCCCTCTTCAAGTGCGGTGCCCGAAACTAGGCACAGTACTCCAGCTGCGGCCTGACCAGTGCCGCATAGAGGGGGAGCATTACCTCCCTTGATCTGTTGGTCATACATCTGCTAATGCATGATAAGGTGCGATTGGCTTTGTTAATGGCTAGACGGAGAGAATTTAATTGGACCCAGAACACAGCTACTACAAAAAAAACGGGTTCATAAACATAACAGCAATTACAACCATTTATCATATCGGAAACGTTGTTCCCTGATGCCAGAAGCACCTCCTGAACAGCATGGGCATGGTTTGTGTTTGGGAGATGCTGCTAGCAGGGGGTGGGCAAAATGTGGCCCGCGGGCTGGATGCGGCCCACCAGGCCGTTCTGTCTGGCCTGCGGGGCCCCTAAAAAATTAATATGCATCTGCCCCTGGCTGCCTGTCATGCGACCCTCGATGGCTTGCCAAAACTCAGTAAGCAGCCCTCTGCCCAAAATAACTGCCCGCCCCTGTGCTAGCACATTGTTACATGAAGCTACTGGGGGTTTCCTGGAGCCCTTCAGAAACTTGGCTCTGCTTTGTATTTGAATCTGGCAGAGATCAGGCAGGGGGAGAGTGCACTTTTGGGCCTCAGAGGCCTTCCGGCTATTAACTGCTGGGGTGGTGGACAAGTCACTTTCCTGTTGCTCTCTGCTTCTCTTTCTTGCCTTTTATCTTCTGCTTGTTTTAGATCTTCAGGGCAATTGCCACCTTTTGCCTTGTGTTTGCACAGTGCTTAATACAGTAGGCTGTGAGCCTGGAAGGAGCCTTAATGGACTTTTCTAACTCGATGAATGGGTATATGGGTTGGGGGAGCCCCATTCCCTTCAACCACTGCAGAGTAAGATGCTTTTGACTGCCACAGATCAGTTGGTTCTCTAGCTCCTGGGAAGGCAACTCACCCTCAAAACAGACATTGAGATTCATTGGGCAAGAATTAAAAACAGATTAATCCTTTCCTCTTCCTTGGCGCATTTGAACTCAAATCTCTGATCTCCCACATCCTCACAGCTATTTCTTCCAAGAGCGAGAGAAGCCGTTTCTAAGCAAGGTGGCAGCTAGCTGCAGGGGCAGGCATGGGGGTAAGCCCTAGTTGCACTGCAGGTGCATAACTGTGAGAACGTCAATCCACTCAGCATTCCTCTTGCCACCTTAGCTCAGCCCTCAGTGTGCCCATGTGCTATTACAAGTTAGCCAACAGCAAATGAAAGCTAAGACCAGGTGCCTGGGCATCCCTGGCATAGCTGATGGGTGGTAAAGCCCTACGCCCTTGTGGTGCTGTTGTGTGCCTGGGCCCTTTGGCAGTAACCTGGGTAGCAGACCGGCTTCTGTGGCTCCTGTTTGGGGGCATCCACCTTGCCCTATGCACTGGAGGGGGGCACTGAGGGCTCTAAAGTCTGGTCAACACTACAAAGATTTGCTGGCAGAGCAAGGTTAGTTCAGGGTGTAGGAAGGGATGGGCTACACTGGGTTGGATGCAGCTGTGCCAACAGAGAGGGCTTCTGTAGTTTGAGGGGGTGGTTCAGCCAGGCTGGCAGAAAATTCTACTGCTGCCATAATACAAGTCTCCACCCGAGGGCACTACCCACACAGGCATGTAGTCCTCACACGTCCCTTTTGCAGATCTAGCTGGCTGTGGTGAGCTGCTCAGGGTGTCTGCTTGAGGGCAGAGCCTGAACTGCCATCTGGTACCCAAGTAGCTTTACTGACAAACTGGGATGTCCCTAGAGCAAAGTGGCATCCGAGCAGGCAGGCTGAGGGTCTAGATTTTTGGTCTTGGATGCCTACAGTATCAATGGAGACAGATATGGGCACCTTGGCTGTTTGTATATTAGAAATAAATAAAATCTGGCCCAGCAGGGCTGGTGATTAAGCTTTTGCTAAGCAGCAATACCTATTGGAACCAGAGCCAAAGAAAGCTTCTTTCTTCAATGACTCCTGTGCCTGAGTCGAGAGGTTTTTTGTTTTTTTTTTTTCCTTTGGGGGAGGGTGATGAAATCCTCTAAGGATTGCATGGCTGACCATTAGCTCATTTTACACGGAAAAGGAAACAGCTGTGTGTTACAAGCCAAGTCCCCATTTACCTTTTCTGGAGCTGAAAGGCTTGTGGCCATACTGGTATAACATAGGATGACCACCTGTCCCTAATTGGGGGGGAACAGTCCTGGAAAAGGACCATCAAGTCCCAGTCCTGGGCTGCATGACTCCCAGACAGCATTTGTCCCAGATGTGCAGCATCATGCAGGGATCCAGGTTTCCCCTTGCAGGCTGGCAGCATTCCAGCCTGCAAGGAGCTGCTGGAGGCAGGGGGTATCCTGTGCACTTGTGTGCCCATGAAAGAACCAGGCAGTTCCCTGCAGGTAAGTCTATGGGGTGGGGGGGGGCATGGAAGCGGTGTGTGTGCAGGGCAGAAAGAGCAC